TTACAAAATAAAAGTTTCTAATAAATAAATATCGTTATTTGTAAATAGTTAAACTTGCTAAAAACTCAAAATCAAACTCACTTTACTTCATAACAAATTTAAAATTGTTTGAAATCGTCGGTTATGTAGACTCTCAAGTCATATATCAACACACACAATATCAACAATCTCTGTTTTGTCAAATATAATAATATTCTACCACATTCACACAACGCCATCCAGTCCCAAGTATTAGTTGTCTAGGACCCATAGTACAACTGATATAAATACATATATACTTTTTTTGTAAATACATACATATTATACATAGAAGACATACATATTATACATATAGAAACTCCCAGACCAAATCAAACATTAAAAGTTCATGCACACAAATGTTTGACTTGAGCGGGAATCGAACCGGCAACCATTAGAATAGCAGTCGTTACACAAAATAATACGCCATCCGGTCGTCTAAAATAGTAAGCAAATAAATTTAATAAAAATTTAACTTAAACAAGATCTATGATATGCCTGTGCCGATCTACAACCGCCCGTTTCCAAGGAGTTGAGCCTTAGGAGAAGAAAGGGCAAACAAACTCATTGGCCACTCTTATGCAATTCACAGACAGATACAATGGCATTATTAAATATAGCACAACATTTTTCGATGTGTGCCAATAGTCCTAAGAACTAAAAGGTAAAAACTCAATGAGGTGAAAACAAGATTAAGAAAAAAAACGAATAAAAGAGAAAATGAAGTGAAACATAAAAATAGAAAAAATAATAATAATAAAAAACACACTACACCACATTTTTACTTAAGAAATAGCCTGCGCTAATTAATCCCAAGCGTTTTTTTCTTCTATGTAATCCACAATTGAGGAATGGGCCCTCTGGCACGTTTTATTGCGGATTTAATTTTTTTAATACAATAAGTCTTGAATATTATTTGGGGTTTTATTATAAAATTGGATACATTGACCTCGAAAAGACTTCTTTATCTTTGGAGCCTAGAGGCGGATACTACAAGTTTATTTCTATTTCTGGTATTTATAGAATGTACATCACTTCTTTTCAAATAGCTATCTTTGATTTTATGAACATATATTACATTTTCATATATTTATTGACTTGCCACTGTCATTATATTATATACGAGTACTGTCATTATTTAGTTTATTTCTTTAAATTTCTGCCTTAATGAACAACGATAACCTAAATTATAAAGTGCTCGAATCGCTCTCTTTTGCAGTACAAAAATAGTTTGAATGTCGGCAGCATTCCCCCTAGTAGTATACCGTACGACATTATGCTATGAAAATAACTGAAGTAAACAAGTCGTCCAGTATCAACTCTTGAATTTTTCTTACTGCGTATGCTGCTGAGCTGAGTCTACTCTATAATTTATCAATATGTGGGCCCCACTGTAACTTAGAATCTAGTGTTATACCTAAAAATGCACTTAGCTTAATCTTAGATGATCAATAAGAATAGCGAATGCGTGCAAATAGTCCAATACAAACTCAGACTTCTCACCCTTTAGTTGATTTTTTTGAATAATAAATAGGCGCTATACAAATAGTAAGCAGAAAAGTAGAACACATTGGCCTTGACACCGTTACAACTATTTTACACCCTGTTTAGAAGTTATCAAATATAATTGATTAGATATCCGTCAAAAATATGTGAGAATTCAATAATTCGTGTAATTACAATAAAACTACTTTTGAAGATATGATATTAATCATAAATAGAATTTACTTGCAAAATCGTGTTGTGTAGATATGAAGACCTAAGAACTATTTATCTTTGTCTACGCTTTCTCAAGAAAATAAGGCAAGTATAAAGGTGATTTTGTATTTAAATATATGTATATATTAACAGACCTCTTTGTAATTTACTATTAGGGAAATATAAATACTAAAAATCCTATATTGCATCACCTATAACGGTGTTAATAATTATTTAATGTTTTAATGGTTAATTATGACACTTGTGAGATTATGTGGACAATTAGATATACATATATTCTGAGCAATAAATATTGCTGGCTAATTAACTTAACATTAAATCTCAAGACATCAATAAAAGCCTTTTATTGCAAAATCATTGGTGCACTAGACATACAGTCTTGTGTCGCATTATTTCTTTCGGACTTTTTGGCATCGCTCCAATAGAGGCGGTTGAAAGATTAGGCAATCCGGGTATATTAAAGACATATTTGCGATATTGTATTAGTTATAACTTTTTTTTTGTTTTACTAAAAATCAAAAGTTATCGTATTGTGGAATGAAGATCAAAGGTTTAAAATGCGATGGCAAAAAAAGTCAACAGTACTGAAGAGCTACCTACCAACATCTTGGCTGTCCTGTAGCAGAACCGCTTTGCGACAGCATTTATTCACAGTATATCCTTTGGTCCTTGGTACACTTAGCACACAGAATACCTTTTTGTTGTCTAGTTACATCATTATAACAACTTAAGTAACTCAAAAGTTATTGCGACTTGTTAGTTGTACTAAGGAAGTAAATGTGTTGTATATTTTATATGCCGCCGGAATACGGTAAGTGGACGATTGGTCGGTGCACTATGACCTAGAACTTGGCGGTGAACGAGATGACGAGTCAATGCGGCCCGAGCGAACGAATGAGTCACACTTGATTCCGAGAAACATTCTGATTTTATTACTTACATGTTCTCAAGAACCCCTTGAACGATAAATTACTTAGTTACTATATGTTATGTGACTCAGAAGTGAATAACAGTGGTTTGCTGAAAAAATTGTAACAGAACGGTGTTTTTATATTTTATGCACATTCTTAGATTATGATGACGGGATTGTAGCTGGGCTTAGTAGAAATTAACTTTAAAATCCCTAACTGTCTTTACCTTTAAAAATAAAGGAATCTCTGATAATCTCTGAATATAATCTCTAAATTTTCTAACCTGCTCGAATTAAAGGTGTTTTAAGCATGTGGATATAGTTTCGATTATTTTATTTACTATCCGAAACTTTAAAAAAATAATTTAACAACAAGCAATTATACAATATTGATTACACATATTCACCTTAATAATAAAGATCTATTTCTATATCGGCATGCACTATTTTTGACTTATGTATATGTTAATAGATTCCTTTAAATATAACTAACCTCTATTACAGGTAACGCAAGACACGTTCTTTCTAAAACTTTGTTTAATATTAAAATAGACGTCTCGTATGTCCGTGTGGTGACGGATTAGTCCGTGTGGTGACGGATTAAGAATACAAATTGTCACCACCCCAATTCATCCCGTGGGTGTCGTAAGAGCCGACTAAGGGAGCAAACTAAGCAAGACAACAGCACTGCAAAGAGAAGGAAAACTTGAAACAAACCCTATACCAACCCGTCTGGCCAGCGTGGTATAGTAGGCCAAAACCTCCTTTCTAAGGAGAGGCCTATGTCCAGCAGTGGACTAGTATAGGCTGTTGATGTTGATGATGATGATGATGTCTCGTATGACAAAACTAAGAACTCCTATCTTAAAGATCGTCTGAGATAATATGTACTTATTGTTCACAATTCTAAAATATAAACTAGACTGATGTTGATTAAATATGATAAACTTTCTACTTTGAATACCAACTAAACATGTAAATATGCAAACGTACAACTTTATTAGAAGAATAATGATAAGGTAAAAAATATGGCATTTAAATTTATATGGTTTATGTGGTTTTACTCAAGTGTACATTACGGAGTAAGCTCCTGGGAGCAGGAAAAGTGCAGAGTAAGCGGTCGAGAGGGAGAATACCTACGCGATAGACAGATCAGATCTACAACGGTGAAATCTGAGGGATGATTTGTAGAGGTCACTATCGTTAGTACTGAGGGGAACGACAGGAGGAATTTCAGATATAACCAATTAGATTTGGACCGTTAGACCTTTATCAAGGTATAATCCTCGACATAGAGACACTATTAATACCATAAATTCTTCATATTCTTATACAATTAGCACATACAAAATACAATACATTCAGAAGAATATTTGCATTGAACAAATGGTTGTCCCAGTTTCGAGATCAATCTTATTATACTCGACACAGTAACAGTTAATATGTGACCGCTTAAACAACTGTACATTTAAGTAGTCAATCAATATTTACTTGTCATGTCTACATTAACAGAAAACAGAAGTGAAACCCTAAATTTTTTATCCTGTATTATAATGAGAAAAATCTACACTGCTTGTAGTACTAGTACCGCACTAGAGACTTATAATTGACACTGTTATTGTAAGCTCATTTAAGTCAAGTAAGCTTTGTCCAGGTTTATTAATTCAATTTTAAACAAAAAAGGTACAAAAACTCAAACAGGATGTTGCTGATTAATTAATAGCCATTGATTCATTCACTACAGCTTAACGTATTTTACAAATACTACAGAACTGACGTAACGCCCATTGAAAAGTATAATTACCAATATCTTACTACTCCTATACACACATGTTTGTGACTCATATTGTACGTTAAACAAACAATTTAAGAACACAATCAAAATGTTCTGGTGCCGGTGTAAAAGGCAACCTCTTATCTTGGTTGGACTAACTCGTTTTATGAATGAATTGAATACTACATACGCCTACGAGTCTATACCTAGCATACTCAGTTTCAATTCATGTTTCGGAGAGGCGTTGCGGAGGTAAGCGGCGATCTTTTCTCGGAGAAACTTGACTCAACTGTTGATTGTTACATCGTATGCATTATACATGATACACAATTTCCGTTTCCGATGGCAATTATCGATTACGATGAGAATAAAGGAAATCCTTAAAGCGAATAAGACGCGAATAAGGTACGGTTACCTCAAGTTACACATTCTTTGTTACTTTTTAACTAAGCACATATGAAGTTATCAATAATATTGAAAACAAAAAAAATGATTTTAAATCTTTATATCAAGTATTATATAGAAATCCATTTCAAGATTTGACGTATTAATAAGGACCAAGGAAAGAAAGAGACTCACCATCGCTTTGTCGGTTCCACCGAAAGTTGGCGCAGCGCTACTCCTCGTGAGGAACACCAGAGCCACTGTCGCCGTCCATAATATCCTCAGACTACTCTTCAAACTGACAAACGCCATGTTTTCTGATAATCTATTGCTTGATATGCTCATTTGATACTTTCGTATATATTATAATTCTATAAAAAATATATAAATATCGAAATAATTGTCATTACTCTTATATCGTAAGTTTAAGCTAAGTTGTAGTTTGACTTTCGTAAATCTTGAGCACCGTGTTGATATTTTATCTGAAATAGAAAATTAACTCAACTATAATATACGTTATGCAGATATATACGTATCTTTGTATATATGGATATAGTCCTGTTTGAATGTGTGTTCTTGTTGCTTATTTGTGTCAGGAAAGACAAGAGAGCAAGGATTAATATCACTAAGAAAATAAAATGTGACACACCGATTCTAATAAATAAATATCATATGAATCATCAGGTAAGAAAATAGTTCGTTATCGTGAGTACTATGTAATCAACTACCACGATTTCTCCATTACAAGTGCTTTCATGTGTAAATATAACACTTTGAAAATAAAAAAAAACACCTCAAAATTCAAACGGATTGCAACCGGCTATAGCACATTTTTTTTTGTCTTTGTACAAATAAATAATTATATTTGTATCAATGTTCTTTGAGAAGAAACCATTGGATTTTTTTATATTTCTGTGGAGGTCACGTTATGTGCCAGTATCGCGTGTGTCATATCCGCCACTTTTTTAATTGCTCTGACTCACCGATCATCTGTATAATTATATAAGATCGTTATGGATCAATACAACTATACATAATATTATTCGTTTATTTCTTGATAAATATTATACGAGTATATCAATATGTAATAATTTTATTCAACATAAACTTATCTGCGTTTTGGAAAAAACCGGTCTTCTAAAGAATTAATGTTTCTAAAGATGTTTTTTCATAATTTAAGAAAGGTGTATATAAAATATACACATCTTTCTAATATATAGATATTAGGACGGTATGTATCTAAATATATAGATATAAACATAAACTCTCTTAAAATTTTCACTGATACTGTTCTACCTTATTTCTATGTTTTCACTCAATGTTTTATAATTAAAGTTCATGTCAGAACTCAGATATAGATTGTAAATATGGCTATAAAAAAAACTTGACATCGATTTACTTTCTTTAATCCTGATTTAGTTAGAATCAAGTGACTGCGCAATTATCGACCTACATATTTTTGAGGTGAGTAGGGATGCCGAGCCGTGCTGTGGGCTTGTCTACAAACACTATTATCTTTGTAATGATAAATTCCAACTCACAACCGAGGGACCGTACGGACACGATGCGGGGAACTGATTAGATATTCAGCCGTCAGTGTACTCAAGAGGTTTGTAAATAACTTTTTCTTTTAAACGAAACAACTGTATTATACTACACATCAACCTTGTAATGCATGTATTAATTTCCGTATGATATGGATAAACTACACATATAACAATGTTTATGTTTGAGAAATGCCCTTTTTTTTTCCGTGCGGAAATCCCCTCGGATACCACCTGTCGGTGGCATGTCGGACTCGAACCGACTAAAACCGCACGCCGTCTCGGGTACTAATAGCCGGGGAACCAGGTATACCCTAGAAAGGAAGTCCCTGGTACCCCGACATACCTCGGGTCATCTACAGACGAGTAGACGACCCCCCCCCGTGTGGGAACCCCATGTTCCCGGTGCTCCCTGGAAGCGAGCGCGCTTCGCAACGCGCTTGCCGCCACCCCGGCCTGCGAGAAGAGAGAACTCCCACTCCGATGGCCGCCACGAGGTCTCGCCTCTGCTCAACCCACGCCGGGCACTCTGCCAGCGTGTGGAGAGCCGTGTCCACGGTCTGGCCATCGCAGTGGTGGCACTCAGGCGTTGGCTCCTTGCGGATCAGACACAGGTGATCTCCGAAACATCCCTTTCCAGTGATCACCTGCGTCAATCGGTATGAGAGGGTCCCGTGACGCCTCTCGAGCCAATCCTCCATAACGGGTCTTACCGCCTCGATGACGGCGTGCCCGTTGAGAAATGCCCTAAAGGTGAAATCCTGAAATGGTAAATGGCAATCTTTTGTTTATTTATTTTAAGTAAAGCGTCTTTACTTTCTTAGAAACTGTCAAGCTATATGAAAATGGGTAAATGTTTAGCCTTGCTGTACTGTGACATAACCATGATAGCGAGTACAATAATAGTTCAGTATATAGTCGCAATGATTAGGTAAAATTACATTTAAGTGGTGGACCAATTTTGAGCACCCAGCGCTCTAATGTACCTGTATAAATACAGGAATATTCAGTCATTTAAGTCCGTTTGCCACCCAGGACATGTAATTGTGTTATGACTACGATCGTTTGTTCTGTGTTTAAGTGTTTTTTATCTATGATAAACATGTATTTAGAAATATATAAGTATTTTTAATCAGCGATCTCTGGTCACCATAGCCGTATAGGCATAGGCTGTGTATGACATGTGTAAGAATATTATTATATTAATAATTAAATACAAAAGTGTAATTGAAAAAAGGCTTTATATAAATTTAATTAAAACGATTGAGATGTATCTATACGGCCACAAAACCAATACAAATGACCAAAACTGAAAGTCGGTGTCAGAAGTGTCGCCAGCAATGTTCCGCTCATCGAAGCGTGTCGGGGCGCGAACTCAACGCCAGTTTCACCGACATTGGAACCAGATCTCTTACCTAACATCACTTTAATGACGATTTTTTTCAGAGAATCGATTAAATTTAACTGTTTATTCGCTTTGGCCCCGTGATAAATTTGCAATAGATAACTGGTAATTGTCTTAATAATGTTGGGATATAAAAGTTTTTTCGGTCTTAAAATATTTGGATGTGGTAGGAATTAGTGAGTTTATTAAATATCTTCCCAAGTATTAGAAAAAAAAATGTATTGTAAATGTCTTATACATTAATATTTATGCCTATCTTAGGCTAACATTTTAACAACAAGAACATGTATTTTAGTTGAATTGGAGAAAAAATTTGCAAGTCCTGTAGTAACTATTTAATCTCAATTATTTTGCTGGTTGTTTCATTTTTCTTTGAATATTATGATTTTATTACATTTTTCAATTTCAATATTCGAAAGATCAGGGCAATTAAAAATTAAGAGGCAATGTCTGACAACTTTTTAATTTTTATCACTTATCATTTAATGTTTGTTAGCTTAGAAGAAGAGCCTTAGAACTTTAACGTCTAATTTTATACAAACAAACCTTTCCAATGAAATAAAGGTTTTATATTATTTTGACTACAATAGCTCGTATAAGAATTCAATAGCACAAAATCTGAAGAAAATGTATTAAATATAAATAACAAAAGCTTTACTTTATTCCTTAAATGTTTCTCAATACTAAAATATTTTTTTTACTAAATCATATCACAAATTTATTTATTTTAAAGTTTGTACAAGTATTTACTGTAGGAATAGCATAAAAGGTTTATCAAAATAAGACATTGTTTCCATACTATTTGTGTGCAATTCTAGTGACTTATGTGCAATAATATGAGACTTTTATTCAGCCTATAAATGATTAGCATTCGTCCTCGCCGTTGTTAATAAAAAAAAACAATAAATGTATGCTTATTCCGTGTCCTATAAAACCTATAAAGTACATGCGGAATTTCGCGATTGGACTCCCAAGTGAGTTTAAATTAAAGCAGCTGATTGACATCATCGGTTCATTGTACATGCGAGGTGTCGTGACACACTGTGATCTCCTGAGATGCATCTCAATGAGTGCGCAGTGTGCTCCGTAGGTGACTAGCGCACGCGCATTTCGCATTGACACGACATTGGCACGCTTCCTGCTTCCGGATACCCGCGGGCAATACTAATTACTATTATCCATGTAATGTACTATTACCCAGTTATTATACTTTGTTGCTATACAATTATAAAATTACATTGAAAACAGTAAACAGATACATCGGTACTGTTTGTACATTAGTCACGTCACTTTTCACATTGATTCCCTAACAATTCTTACACTGCATAGATTTATGATACTCAATTTTGAGATGTAATTTCCTTATTATATACAAAAAATCATTTTACTTTCTAACATCGTTAATTTATAATATAGATTTTTGTTTTGTTCAACAAATAATATTTGCAGTCATATTTGTTGTATGTACCTGATCATCGTTTGTTTATAAATGTGCATAAAGAACTAAAAATTGTCTCGTTAATCGATTTTCGAATTCGAATTTCGATCGAAATTGAAACCCAAAAATAAATTTACCGCCATAGCCATATTCATTTGTCTTATTTGTATCGGAATTAACAGTAAAAATTTTGGCAAATACATTCGAATTTAATTTCATGTGACTCTTCACTAGAATGTAAGAAACCTAATATTGTTATCTAATGTTCGTCAACTCAAAACACACTTTATAAAAAAAATCTTAAAATCACTTTACTTCATTTGTCATTTGACTGTTTGATGATAACCAACGAAGCATGAGTCAGACAATGTTTTGGTTGAATAAACTTCATGGTCACCGGCGACTTCTAGTACAACCCTTGTACGTCAATTATTACGAATAAACATAATTATTGTACACATTACTAATATACGGCTTGGATCATACAATTAATACCAATATACAATTAATTGTGGTTTTAACATAAACATCCGTTTTACATCCTTCAAAGTACTTTATATATTAGAAGTTTCTTAGAAATGAAAAACTTACCAAAGAAACTGGTATGTTTATTGAACACTAAACGTGTTTAGACTTTTTTTTTCATTTTCATATGAATATAATATGATATGAAAGAATATCGATCGATCAAAAGTTAAAGTTTTACTTGTGAACTGCATTTAAATTACTTGTTGCGTTTAGTCAAGTGCAATTAATAAGGTAATTTTAGAAGTTTGGGATGTAAAACATTCAACTGTCAAAAGTGGCCCTATACTGTTTGCTAACTGGAATGCTTAATTCTATTTCAATACTCCTACACCGGTATTTAAAAAAACGCTAAATTGTTCAAATTGCGTTTTCATCATACATAACGTCGTAATCCATATAAAACATCATAAACATCTATCTGCTTGTTTATTTAATTGTTTTTTCAAAATAAATCGTCGCTGTCGCTGCCGCTTGTCAGACTAATCAATGGGAATGAATGTATATCTTTAGGCGAGATAAAGAAAAAAGGTAAATTGGGGTAAAGAAAATGGATAGGGACTCTCTCCCTATCCATTTTCTTTCAGCTAAGGTTATTGATATCGCAAGTATTATTATTTAGTATTTACCGTTAGAGAACCATGTGTTGGCATAAATGGGCCCGCCCGAATGGAAATATATCACGGTCTTATCGAAAAATAAGCTTAAGCAATTTTCCCGTTGCTTTTCACCGAGTGAGTGGAGTCAACTCTTTCAAACCCCCTCTCTCTAACTCTAGCTGGAGACTCAACAGGCGGCAACGTAATTGTGACTATTGAGTTGCAGGTGTCAGGTCACGGATCACTGATCACTTTCCATGTGGTGACTCGTCTGCCAATTTGCCTCGCACTTCATAAAAAAATATCTAAATAGAAACAGGACTGAGACTGTAGTAGCTTCACGAAATCCCATACCGGTATATCCTGTGATTGAGAGGGGGCAAGGCTTGGGCAGGGTCATCAACAGATCATACTCAAATGTATTTTTGTATACATAATGACACATAATACCATCAGTACTACGTTATTTACACACGTTAGTAAACTATTAACCAAGAGACAAACTAATTTTTTACCTCGTCGATAGCTTTGACTCATACCATGAAGTTATGCAGGACAAAGGATGACTTTCAATCACTTATTGCCTATTTATGCGGATTGCAGTATTTTTACGTTTTATATAAATGTCTATTAAAGAAGTTCAACGCCTTTATTTACAAATCTAAGTCACCAGGTATTAGTTTACCTACGCATTATTGAAATATATTGATAAAAAAGAGTCAATTATTAACTGATATAGGTGCTATTTTTCTTCGTCTCTTATAATAGATATGTTAAAAAATTTCAAGAGAACGCGTTGATATTCTTTTAAGTGAGGTTCACTTACGATGGCGTCTTCATAATGCGTACTTTCGCCGACGTTTCATGTCAAGTTCACCGTCCGGTACGGTATGACTTAACCGTGACTCATTCCGGTTACAGGGCAAGCTAATGTGTTTATATACCTTATACTTAGAAGGCGATAAATGCTCTAATGTATGATACCTTTTTGAATAAATTATTCAAGGTAATAGAAACATAAGTAAGTGCACATACTACACAGTACATAAAAGTTTTTGGTTGGTTCATAATGTTTAAGTATAGATACTTTTCACACTTTATACTTTTCACACTTTGGAGCGGAGTGCTAAAGCATGTGGATGTGAATGTCGGACTAGTGAACGAGATTAGTATAGATGAAGTTAGATTGGCAGTACGAAGTATGAAAAATGGAAAAGCAGTTGGCCCCGACGGTATACCAGTGGAAGTTTGGAAGCTACTGAAAGAAGACGGATATAAGTGGCTGACTCTATTCTTCAATATGTTGTTGCTTGAAGAGGTAATCCCAAAGGAATGGTGTCAAACCCAACTCGTACCCATTTTCAAAAACAAAGGAGATGTTCAGGAATGCAACAACTATCGAGGAATAAAGCTCATGTCACATACTATGAAAGTCTGGGAGAAAGTGATTGAGAGAAGAATAAGAGATGAGAGTCAGATAACCCAAAGTCAATTTGGGTTTATGCCAGGACGCGGGACAACAGATGCTATATTTGCAATGCGCCAACTATGTGAGAAATACAGGAGTGCGCACAAAAACTTGCATATAGTGTTTGTGGATCTCGAAAAGGCATATGATAGGGTACCCCGAGAGGTTTTGTGGTGGGCTTTGAAAGAAGAAAGAGTGCCTGTTAAGTATGTAGAATTGATTCGTGCTATGTACAGAGAGTCTAGCACTCATGTAAGGTCGGTCACGGGAAACACTGATCAATTCAGTGTCTCTGTAGGCTTGCACCAGGGATCAGCTCTGAGCCCATACCTCTTCCTGTTGATAATGGATGCTCTGACATCGGACATACAGGAGGAGGCACCTTGGTGCATGCTATTTGCAGATGACATTGTGTTGGTCGGTGAGGATGGGGTTGAGGTCCAGAGCAGACTGGAAAAATGGCAACAAAGGCTGGAGAATGTTGGCTTGAAAATCAGCAGAACCAAAACTGAGTACATGTTCTGCGATTTCGGCGGTCTCTCCAGTCCTGAAACCATTTCGCTGGATGGGATAGCGATAACAGTCTGCTCCAATTTCAAGTACCTCGGCTCCCTCTTACAATGTGATGGTGAGATTGATCGAACTGTACAGCATCGAATCAATACGGGATGGATGAAGTGGCGGCAGGTAACGGGAACAACTTGTGACCCCAGTTTCCCCTTAAAACTGAAGGGACAAATTTATAAAACTATTATCAGACCTGCCGTACTGTATGGTTCTGAAAGTTGGCCCATTAAGAGAACGGATGAGAGACGCCTGAACGTAGCCGAAATGCGAATGCTGAGATGGATGTGTGGTGTGACTCAGATGGACAAGGTTAGGAATGAGTATATACGAGGGAGTCTGAAAGTAGCGCCACTGGATGAAAAGTTAAGAAGTAATAGGTTATCTTGGTATGGACATGTCATGCGGAGGGATGAGGAAAATGTGGCGAAGAAAGTTTTAGGTATGAGAGTTGAAGGGTATAAGAGAAGAGGCAGACCGAAGAAAAGGTGGATGGACTGCGTGAGGGAGGATATGGCTAGCAAGGGAGTAAACAGTGAGATGACGCATGACAGAGTAGAATGGAAAAATCATACATACTGCGCCGACCCCAAATAAAATTGGGAAAAGGGTAGGCAGATGATGACTTTTCACACTTTGCCCTCCATTTGTTGTACTAAATTATGAGTTCTACATTAAGGTTTATATTTTCGACACATCTTAGCTCTAGTTACAACCGACACCATTTCCATTACTAAAGCTATTTTCTAATCTTAATTTATCAATTAAAAATATCGACTTACATAGTAAATAATAAACAACACTATAATTTTTTTATTAAGTAAAGAATGACACAAAGAATGCGTTCAAACAGATCTCAATGTTATCAGCTAGATACGGCGTTATCCACTAAAATTATCTGATAACAGTAGAGATACAAGTGCCTCGCGTCTTTCTTTCACATTGTTGTATCCGTGTATGCGTTTTTGATAAAAATGTCCTGTAAATTAACGTCAGTATTTATTATAATAAATGTACCAGGCCATAAATTGCTACGAAAGACATCATTACGACAATGTCATTTAGTACTGACCGTGACACAAAACTATGTTAAATGATTGATTTCGATATTGCACTGATTTCATAGTTATTAGAAATAGGCGAAGGGATTACGAAAAACGGAGTTAAATAAAATTGTTGCACGAGGTTAAATATACCACACGAATTCAATATTTACGTCTATATTACCAGTTGCCAAATATATTAAAGTAATCGTTTTTGTAAAGTATTTAGTAGACAGCACAGACTAGTATAGAGAACAATAAACAAATCGTGTATCACGTATGACGTGTTGTTATCATTGATGGTGTTATATGTTCCGTGTCGATCTTATCATTTGTTTGATTCAAATATGGAAGCTATCAACTAACCTGTTAGGTTCGTCCAATGTGAAGTTCAAGCAATCCTCACTACTTGAAACGTTAAGGTCTTCGTCTCACTAGTGCGTTCACGTCTCGTAGCTCTATTATTACAGAATAAAATGATACCGAAAGATAAAAAAACTAGAGTCTATGAATTATAAAACAACAATCACAAGGCACTCTGTGGTCACCGAATGTCCCGCTGCGGTCACTTATTTCTTTGCAGTTACGCGAATTTTCAAAGAAAATGTGTGTATTGTATGGCGGGAACCCACGAACGGCTGCGATCGTTGCGCCACCGCGTGACACGACCTACCGCAGACCGCGAGTTTGAGTAGAGTGAGAGCCGCGGCACCGCACCGCGCTTATAATCGCACGATGCCCGAGAGGCGCCCCGTCGCCCGCCCACCCGACCGACTACCGGCGAAGCCTCCGCTGGCCGCCCGCCCCTACACATTCAACTTTACAGGATAACTTATGCGCTTTCGGTGAATACTTTAACTCGTTTTTTATGACACTACAAGTTTCCTTAAATATTACATTATCTTAGTACATTGTGATGTACCGCGTGATTTGTGATGACCGCCCTTCGATAGTGACTTCAAAGAAATGTCCCAGTAAAAACCAAGCAAATGAAAGAACAGGGAAACTTAAGAATAAATATGCAATGTGTGACATATAGTATGATGTCCCAAATTGACCCTCGGCAGTAACAAGATCTTTCCCTTCGTTTCCCTTTATCATAATTTAAAACTAAAGGCAATGTCCATAGTTTTATTGGAATTGATCTCGATGTTCAAAGCAATACCTGCAACCGAATGGTATCTCTAATAACAAGGTTCGATTTAAGTTGTTAGAACCGAAAGTTTAGCAGTAACTAGAGATCACCTAGTGGTTGAATTTTAAGCATGATTCCTTAAGTTTTACATATTTTGTTTTAAATGGTGCACCGTAACATGAACTGTTCTTACCTGTAAAAGTTTCTAGTACCGTGACAGGTCTATATACAATATATATATTCAGTACTAGCTTTTGTCCGCCGCTGCGCCCTCGTGTATGTCGGTTCTCGCGGTAAAAAGTAGCCTATGTTACTCGCTGATAATGTAGCTTGCCATTAGTGAAAGAATCTTGAAAATCGGTTTAGTCTTCTAGGCGTGAAAGCGTAACAAACAAACTCACTTTCTCATTTATAATATAAGTATGGATGGTCTTCCTAGTCCTCTATAGTGTTTAGTAGTCCTTTTCGAAACAAAAAATGATAATTACTTAGCACAAATTGATTAGAGACTTCATCATCATCATCATCATCATCAGCCTATCGCAGTCCACTGCTGGACATAGGCCTCTCCCATTGCACGCCACTTAGATCGATATTGGGCTTCTCCTTTTTTTAGAGACAAGCTTTTTGCAATCGTATAATCTTAAAATTTTTAATATTACAATTTTCGTAGCAATCCCGATTAAGGTAAAAAGAAGCAGCAATATTTTCCTGTATTAGCATTTTAGGCAGGCATGCAATCGAAAATCGAATGTCATACAATTTTGAAAACTAAATCGTTCTTTGCTCAAAATTATTTAAATTATTAATATTGTTCATCACATGGTATTATGAATTAAAAAGAATATCCAGCCATTCGCACACCAAATACTATTTACTCTTCATTTATAAGAAACATAGTATAGTACTAGAAGTAGCCCTTAACCAGTCTTCTATAGATTACTTCTGTATACGTTCGTCTTCGATTGATTTACATTTTAGGTGTTAAATATGTAATGGAATCTCTATAACTGTACAGACTTATATATGTGTGTGTATAGTTATAGAATTAATTTACAATACTATTACAGATATTAAATCATATAAGGTATTATCTCTACCGACATTGCTACAAACACATGAGTTTAAATTTGGAATTAATATCGAAGAATTGCCCTCTGATAATTAAAAAAACAACTTTGAAATGATAATTGAATTATCACCTAATTGTAAACAATGGAGAGAGAAAAATGTTTGTTGTGTAATTACCTGTAGGTACGTGTCTAACTACATGCGACGTTGAGTATGAGGAAAATCTCTACTCTATAGCTAATCCTACGTCTGTTACGTAAAGAACACTCGTGTAACGGCGACACGTACTTGTCTTAAGATATAATACTCCAATTAAGGTGAACATATTACAATAACAACAATGTACGCACAATTTCATTAATATTTTATTTACCCTGTTTGAGTATATTACATAGAATATATATCCCTCTCGGGGACTTCCTTCCTACGGTATACCGGTATATTGCAATAGACTCACATGGGTTTTAGTCGGAGTAATTCCGACGAAACACACCCGAGGGCGATTTAAAATAAAGGTAACTCGACCCCGGCCTCTTCGAATTACGTTTGAGGTATCCCTTATCCTAACTTCCTAGACCTATCAGTTTTTCTTATACTTTTTTATTTTGTCTATTTTTTTTTGGATTGGCTTTAGACAGACTGCCGGCTAAAAAAGATACCAGCGAAAATCTGACCCCAAATAAAGTCGGCCCAATATTATACAATAATGGTGATTTTTTTTATAATGACGGGTCTAGTGCCACGGTTAGTGACTCAGACTGCTAAGCCAGAGGTCGTGGGTTCGATTCCCACCCACGATAAATGATTATGTGATGAGCACGATCATTTGTTGTGTCTGGGTGTAATTTATCTATATTATGTATGTATTTGGAAATATATAAATATGTGTATCAGCAGTCTGGTTACCATAGTACAGACTCTGCCTAGTTTAGGAAGAGAAAAAAAGTGAGAAGTGAAAAACAGAAAAAATATTAATAATTTAAAATAAAAATAAACCCAATTTTTGAAAGTCTCAGATGATTTTAGAAGTGAATCATTATCTGAGTTTTTTTTTATTCAAACAGAATAATAAGGTAATGTCATTGAAACAGATGCAGTAGCTAAGTGTTTACTAAACTACGCAATATCTGAGCTTCAGATTTCTTATTAGCACTCCTAAGTTAATGCCTAATTTTAGTTCCAAATTAATAAGTTATCGTATTAATAGGGTACGGTAACTTAGCGGAAAAACTTAGTCCATAAGAAATATATAGTTAAACTTAGTTAATAAATACTGCATCAAAAAAATAAAAGAACCATACTTAGTTTGTTTTTAATTTATTCATTGCTGTACCGTTTTCCGATCACATTTTTGCATACACGTGCAGTGATGAGTAAGGTACATTTCATCCAAAAAAATATTACAAAAAATTGCTTTTACTTGAGCAAAAATGGCTGGATGTTGTATTAAAAAAATCTTCCTCATCGATTTTGACTAGTTTATATTATAAACTATAAAAACATTCAGATTAACATTTCACAGTTAACATAACAGTTATGTATATAATGTTATTTTAATCAAATAAAGTTCTTATTTTAAGCAAATAAAATACAAAAGAATTACTTTTGAAATGTTTCCAAAGACGCAGATTTTAGTTACTATTTGCTTCTAAGGGTACCTGAACTGTGCAAATAACCGTATTCAATTCGGTTTAATAGTAATTTACTACGCTTGCGTAAAAAATGTAAACAACTTGGACTTTTGTTGTGCACAATAGTTAAATAGATTTTGTGGAACGTGCCTTTTATTGAAAGCGCGTAATGTTATACCGCGTTCCACAACAGTAATCTTACACTCTGCTAACAGTAGTATTAAAATACCTATTTATTTCCTGAGAATAATAATAATAATAAAACATACTTGATCTCTGTGATAAGCGTTATCAACTTAAAGAAGGTTTTAATATAGTTTAAAAACTATTTCTTAATGCGAATAAATAAGTTTAGTTAACTATAATCTCCACATTACTTTATTTAAACTTTGGGTTAATAATTCATGGAATTAAAATATTTCTAGCTGCTATTATTTTTGCTTTTTTTTTCTCATATAAAAATCTCAATATCCAGTCATCCCTTATTACATTCTCCATTCCTAATGCATATGAAATAACTTCCAACAAATCTGTCAAACAGGTCATAAATAAGCTAACAACTTTAACGTGCTAATGATTACGTCTATTACCGATGAATACAGAGTTGGAATCAATATTTCTCGGTAACAATAGCTATACATTTGATCATTTTCCACGATATCAGTTCAATAAAAAAAACCTTTGGAAAGATGTGTATGCCTTTCGTAGCTTTGACAGCATGAGTAATCATTTTCCAGCGCAATGCATGGCCTACATTCGTTGAATATAAAAAAAGCGTTTTATAATCAATAAAAACGCCTCGAGAGCCGAACTTGACCTTGCGGTATCCCAAAAAAAATGACCGGCTTAAATGTATATCGTATACAGTTATTGACTGTAGAAGCTTATGTCTAAATACTCCTCAGAAAATAATAAGATCTTTATACAAAATCACATGTTAAATACAACAATAAATCATTAGCACACGCCAGGTCTTTTCTTAAATAAAAGATATAATATAATACCTGACTTTGAAAGCATCTATATTTTTAAAAACTATCTTCAAACACTAAGCTTAAACTTTACTTTTCTAAAAGTTGATAGCTTTTACTTGCGTTACAAATAGATTTACGTCAAATGTATTATTTAATATTAAAATCATAAATTCTTATTCAGTGAGATTTTACTTTTACGTATGAATGTACTCAATAAATTACTTGTTAGAAAAAAGTGCTGAAGTTCATTAGAAGCATTATTGGACATACCATACCATTATTAACATAAATATAGATATTAAATAAAAAGAAAATCGAAACGTCACAGTAGATAACTAAACCTTAGTGATAAATTGATTGTGTCCTTTTCAGAGCCATGATTAATGACTCATCTCAGAATTGACTTAATATTCACTTTGTTCGCTCTTTTTTTAATCTAGAAAATTCGGTCTGGTGCTGGACCTCAGGCACTAGCACACCAAGTAAAGTAGCTTAAGCACTTTTACTATCTATTACTCGTACATGTTATCTAAGGTATCGGACAGTGAAAATATTGAGTGAATCGGTTCACGCGTTCCGAAAATTTTCCTGAGTAAGCGACAGACAGATATGCTTTTTTAGTATTGTTCATTGGTAGAACTATCATGTTAACATTCAGATGTATTAAGTATAGTAGAGTAGTATTAGATTCATAGTAAAATATTTTATATAATCCCACTCATACTTCCGCATGTGTCCACTCTTTGTTCTTAATCCAATCTGTCCTCCTCTGGAAAGCTCTGCCTTTGGAAATCAGGATAGCACCCAGTCGCCTCTCATTTAAGACGAAAGTCCGGGCTCGAATTCTCGACACTCTAGCAGACTCATCACATCCCTAAAGTCTTATATGTTATATGTATACGAGTAGATACGTATGTACTATATGTATGTATGTGTATCTCAGTATGTATGTAACCTTATTTTAATTTCATGCACCTACTCAGACATTTCCCTACCACCCAAAGGTAGACTGGGAGAAAATGCCTTTGGCATTAAGTCCGCCATTGTACAATGATTTATTGTTTGTGCAAAAAGAATTAAATAAATAAAAATAAATAAATAATATGAAAAACTTCCTGCAACTTAGAGCACAATATAAATTGCCTTGGGACAATGGCAATAAACGAATGGCTTAAAATACAAATGTATGTGTTTAGGCTTAAAAGCACAACGATCCTTAAACAATGCAAATTTCCACGACAAACACACATTGCTGTCGAATGAATGGATAACAAATACCAAAAACCCCTC